GTAACTTGATTGCCCAAAGGGCTTGTTGTATAAATTACTATAATACTAAAAACTTTCGAGGATTTTGTTTACTTTTTATTATTGTCAATGATTTTCAGGGGTGAACCGGGGTTATTTTTTTTAGTTTTAAAGTTACAATATAATTATTTTATTATTACTATACATTTACTATAGATTAGCAATACGCCTACTACTTAATTTTGCAAGTTTCAGTAAAGCAATATTAGAAAATTTTTTAAAGAAATAGTATTATTTTAATACTACATATATAATAATATATTTATAGCTAGAAGTTATTTTAAAATTTTTGATTTAATATATAAAAATCTAATTTAATAAATTAACTTGAATATTATTAAGCAAGTAAAGTTTTTAAATATTAAGTAAGAGAATATAACAAAATAGTGTTTTAGTTAGTATATAAAAGTAAGTTGTAACCTAGATAGTAAATTAGAGTGCAATTCCTTTTATACAAATTATTTGAAATTTCTAGCTGTTATAGAAGCCTACTTGAAGTCTCAAATAAAGTAGTAGTACAAACTTTAATAGTGCTACTGTGAAAATTAAACCCAAGAAACAGACTATATAAAGCTCTGTAAAAAATTTTATCTGAATATCTCAATTATTTATCTATATTTTTTGTGAAAACTTCATGAATCTGCAACATGGTCGAGAAAATCTAGACAAGCTGAATAATCTCCATAATTTAAAGTTATAAACTTCGTGAATATGCAACATGAAATATAAAACACAGATCGACTTTTTTATAGTGAAGCAGACAAACCAAATACAAGATAACAGAAAACTGATATATTAACTAGATTGCTAAGTTCTATTGCTACCAAAAAAAAAAGAATATAGTTTGATATTATATATTAAAGATAGACTACAGTCTTTCTGGGTTATATAGATTAGAAGTTTAAAAAAACTTGTAAATAGAATACTAAAACATTAGAAATATACTATAAAGTAAATACTAGAGTTTGAGTAAATTATAAAAGCCAAGTACAATAAGAGTAAATAACTTTCAAATATATAGGTAAAGCCCATAGGAAGACATTCATATAATTGGCTGTTTAAATCAATTTAATTTACATTATTTATATAGTTTAAAGTACTTTATTAAAAAAAATAAAACTACTTAGAATAAACAAAAAAGAAGTATATAGAAAGTTTTATTAGGGTTGTAGGGCTCTACTATTAAAAATAATCAAAATGATTTCTGGTTTTAGAGAAGTTAGCATAATAGCGGCTTCTTAAAGATAGATAGAATTAAGTTATTACCATGCTAACTTCTCTAAAGCCAGAAATCATTTTGATTATTTTTAATTGACATGGGGTAAACAAATGCTAAATGCACTTCGAATCTTTGCTCAGAGAATTTTATTGTTAAGTATTACTCGCGCTTGCGCTATATCACTCTTCCACAACACACACCTAACTACACCTTCTTTAACGACTTCACACTCCTTTAACTTTAAGGCACAACGACGTTACTACAAGGTTTTAAGTTTATTACTCTAAGTAAATTTTCCCCATCTGTTCGATCATATCGATCAAACCTTTATTTATAGTTTTTATTATGTACTATTGCATCATCAATACAATAAGCTCTATTGTTATCTGTCATATTAGACTTTAAATTACACTACGTTATCTAACATATTGTGTAGATCATTACTAATTCTCTCTACCCTTGAATGTCTAACCCCGGTACATCGTACCACGTGCAACCAATTACAACCCGACATTAATGGTTGAGTCCTACAACCCTAATAAAACTTTCTATATACTTCTTTTTTGTTTATTCTGAGTAGTTTTATTTTTTTAAAAAAGTACTTTAAACTGTATAAATAATGTAAGATTAAATTGATTTAAACAGCCAATCATACGAAAGTCTTCCTATGGCTCTAGCACTGCTGCAGCCATGGAGCCTAATATCTGCCAATCCAGGTCCTTGCACTGCGACTGCAGCCGTGGAGCCTAACTTACCTAAAACGGAAAAGCCTTGGTGATAGAGCTAGTATATACCAGTATAGCTTAAATACTCTTATCAAACTGATTTATTGCATCAATCTTAACATGCGAAATAAACCTTCTAACATTCCTAGTTCATTGATTTACACCCGAGTCATATATGCATACAATACTTAATCGCTAACAATCATATTCAAACATGCAACTACTCCTCTGAAAAACTCGCATCTAACAAAATGTACGTAATAAACAATAAAATGCCATACAAATTTAAACATGTGACTGAATAAAGTCACCTGATATATGCCCTGTCACTTTGTTGACAGGCTTCTAGAGAAAATATACGTATAATAAAAATTAAAAGAATTTTAATACTGACATAAATAATATTGACATTTACTGATATCTTGTAGTTTAACAATTAGAACCAAAAAAAAAAAAAAAATTTATTTGATTCATCTCGGTAAGACAAAATGAATAGTATAAAATTTTTTGATTTAGATCAGTATATCATCAAAAACCACAAGTGCGTCATATTACCTGCTCGCTACTTACCCTTCCAACTAGATATTAGAATACTAGCCACATTTAGATATATTTTTAGCTATTTATTAAGAATGAAATCATATTTACTTTAATAAATGCAACAATAGCAAAAAAATTTCGCATAATACAAAAGAATCATGAATATAGATATAATACAACAATTGATACATTCGCTTAGATATGCAATCTACATAGTATTAATGCTTTTACAAGATATGATTTTGATATTAGAAAATGTGAAGTCAAAGAATAGTAGCTATTATTTGTTCATTTTGTATATAAAAGTTTAATCCAGGTTCTTTTACGCTTAGTTCTAAACTAAAAAAGGATAAAAAATTATAAATATACTTTAATATACTTTACAAAATTATGCATTCTTTTATCAAGGTAGTTACCGATTTTTGCTAGTATCATCAGTTCTATTTTTTTACAAAAAATTTTGTCTGTCTTGTAATGATTGATACTTCTCAGCATAATCACACAAGGTTCGTCGAGCACCAATTGCAGTTACTCCACATCGATCAAGTTCATCATCTGACAATCTAATTAGGTTTTTTACTGTAACTTGATGAACTTCAAATTCATTTAAAAAATTCTGATAATAATGATTAGTTCCCTCTTTTTCATCTATTTCTTTTAGAAAATTAGCCATCTCTGATAAAGGATTCGAATTATATTGACTGGCTTGAAATTGAAATGGAGCAAATGGGGATAGTGTTTGATATGAATTGACTGGCATTAAAGGTGGTGTGTGATACAGATTGAATGGCATTGGTGATGGCGTATAATATGGATTGATTGGCATTGGCGATGGTGTATGATATGAATTGTATGGTGTTAGAAATGGCTGAAATACTGAAGGACCAGCAGCCCAATTGCTTTGTAATAATGTATACGATGATGGAATTGATGGTGTTTGAGATAGCAAAGGTGTTTGTGGTAGCAAAGATGTTTGTGGTAGCAAAGGTGCTTGTGATAACAAATGTGTTTGTGGTAAGAAAGGTGCTTGTGAAAATGGAACTGATGGTGTTTGCGGTGATAAAGTTTCTTGTGATGATGATACATTAGAATAAGCTTTTTTAGAAGATATCTTGGCGTGAGAAAAAAGAGGATGTGTTGGAGGCTCTTTAATTGTACTCAATCCTTTATTCTAAGAATATATATTACATATAAATTATAATTTTGTATAATTAAATTTCAAAAAATTTATATACGTACCATATCTGATGCCCATATTGCAAGCATCATAAAAGTAATTTCCACATGTAAATCTTTATTACTTTCTTTATTCAAACAAGGTCAATTGTGTATGTTACAGTGGTACTCTTTTCAAATTTCTAAAACATTCATAGCAATTGCTTTATCTTGTGAAGATAAAGATGATATATTTGGAATTTTGTTACTATTTCTGTAATTTTTTAAAGATTCATTATCATCACGATCATCATCATTCAAATCTGTATCCTAAATCATTTGTAAATAGTTTTTTATTATTAATAAAATATATATTTAGTAATTCAGATTATCTTTACCTTTTTTTTTTGTTTTATTTGAGAAATCATCTGTATAATCGTTATATAAATTCCCATATCAATACCTTTCACAGTTAACTTTAAACATTCAGCTTTAAATTTTACAAAATCTTAAGCATCGACTAATTGAGTACCAGAACCAGTTTTCTTTTGCATTTTAAATGCTACACTATAATCACTTGGTAAGAGAGTATTATCTTTTTTTAGCATGATAATTTTATTATGAAGTGATAATAAAAACTCATCTATAGCTGATACTGATTCTTTAAACCATTTGGCCGGCAATAAAACCCCTTCTGCAGTTTTGATAATTAATTTATAGCTTATTTCAAATTCTGTATTATCATCGCTGCTTGTTCCATCTTCACTAGTTATAACAGACATAGATGAGGAAAGTAATGGAACTATTTCCTAAAAAGGAACAAAAAAAATATTATAAATAAGTTTATATAAGTAATAAAATAAAATAAAAATTACATGAGTTTCAGTCATGGTGTCTGTCTCTATATCAACTATTAAGTCTTCTGTTTTGTCCATTTCTTCATCTGTTGCCTCATCTGTCGCTTCATCCATTACTTCATCTATTGTCTTATCCTTTTCTTTATTTGTTGCATTACTCGTTATTATATTTTTCACTTTATTTATTGCTTTATTTAGTGATTTTTTTTTAGTTTCTGTGGAATTCAATTTGAGCAAAATGCTGTGACACCGGCCACAAAGAGAAAACTTAAAGGATTTTTTTAAATTTATTTGATAATTGTATTCTAAGACCTTTTTATGAATGTATTCAAATTTTGGTACTGTCCAGGTAGGTTCATATGAACGTGTATATGCTTGTTTGACATGAATGGTTCAATTTTTTTTTGTTGGTACCACGGATTTTTTACAGCTACAAACAATCTGACGCAGATCTACTGCACAATACAAGCATTTTCTGCAGCCAAAACAGGTTCCACGGTGATATTTGAGTTTTGTGTTTAATGTGTCAGCCATAGAATATTTGATTATTATAATGTAGAAAAAAAAAAAGCTTATTGTTTTAGAATTTTGTTATATTTATACTATATTTTAAATTTTCGATTTTCAATTTCCAAATTTCCAGATTTTCAAATTTCCAGATTTCCAATGATGTGTGATGTACGAAATCTGATGATCACAGTAAATTGAAAAGCGCTGTAATAAACTAAATTTCTCTGATTGACAAAAATTGGCAGATACTGATGATCCTGACGGAATTTTCTGGCTCGGTTATTGTTACGAGCATGGAATTGGAGTAGAAAAGGATGAAAACAAAGCATTTACGCATTATCAAAAATCGGCAGACATGAAAAATCTTAACGAAATGTTTCAATATCAAGTTGGTTATTGTTATTATTTAGGAATTGGAGTCGAAATCGATAAGCAAAAAGCGTTTTCATATTATCTGAAGTCTGCTGAGGCTGGTAATTCCAATGGGATTCAGAAAACTACCATTTGTTACAATTATGGAATTGGCGTGGAGAAGAATATTGATAAATTTGGGGAATGGCATAAGAAGTAAGTTAATTGTTGATTTTTTTATTATAATATTTTTGTAATTCTTTACTTGTAATTGAAATTTCTTATACAATTTTTAATTATTAGGAAGTAAGTATAAAATGTATTCATCAATATAAATCGGCGATTTAAGTTCATAAATATTTATTTATTGTTGTTATTTTAGTTAGTATAAAAGAATTTAATAATTTTTTAAAAATAAACCAAGTTCACAAAACAAGAAAGATCATACTATACAGAAATTTAAATCTCTTAATGCGTAGTAACTGTATGGTAACGATTAATTTTAATAGTAACTATGTAATTACTACGTTGCTACTATGCAGTTACTGCATATTAAAATATTTAAGTTTCTGTAAAGTAAATAAATTATTTACCATTATGTTTAAATTCATTTCATTCGCATTAATCATGCACTCAGCATGTGAGTATAGAGAATATTTATTAATCAATGAAAATAAAAACAGTAAACAACTTCACAAAACAAGAACATAAATACTTATTTACCATTATGCTTAAATTCATTTCAATCGCATTAATTTAGTCGGTGAGTATAAATAATACTTACTAATCAATGGAATTAAAAACAAGTTCACGAAACTAGATGATAAATATTTACCATTACGTTTAAATTCATTTAATTCTAATTAATTTAGTTAGTAAGTATAAAGAACATTTATTAATCAATGGAATTAAAAATAGCAAAACAAGTTCACAGAACGAAAACATAAATACTTATTTACCATTACGTTAATTCATTTCATTCGCATTAATAATTTTATTCAGTCTGTGAGCATAAAAAACATTTATTAATCAATGGAAATAAAAACAGCAAAACATGTTCACAAAACAAGATCATAAATACTTATTTACCCATTACGTTTAAGTTCATTTCATTCGCATATTTAAATTCAATATAAAGTTTAAAATTGCAGTTGTGAAATAAAACATTGAATATTTATTATATAGAAAACTTGAATATGGAAAATGTGCACGTTGTAATGAAGTTAACACGGCACCAGCATGGTGTCTGTCGTGTGACCATGACAGAGCAACACAGTGGACAATTGCAAATAAAGATATTGATGATTACATGAAAACATTCCAACTTAGAGCCTGGAGTTATGAAAATGCGATTGAATGGATTCCATTTAATAGATTATTTGATGTTAAAAAAAATTGGTGAAGGAGGATTTGGTTCCGTATATTCGGCAATCTGGTTGGATGGCATACGAAAAGTTGACGGTAGTGATTATAATCATGTAAGAACGCGCGAACCATCCAGCACCGTTGCACTCAAGACTTGGCCATTTCTAAAGAAAACATTGATTTTTTAAAAGAAGTAAGCTAATTTATTGCAATCATAATTTATTTAATAGTTTATTGAACTAATTCATTGTTTAAACTTTAAGTTTAAAAGTCTTGTGGAATGTAAATTAAAGCAGTGTAAGCTCGTAATATATAGAATAACCCAAAACACAGAAACAAAAGATTACTTGATGGTCCTTCAGTATGCTAATAATGGAAGTCTTCATAAATATTTAAGAAAAAATTTTATTAGTCTTACATGGCAGACTAAATTACAAATACTTAAAGATACTGCGTTGGAGTTATATGGAATTCACGAACACGCAGGATACATCCATGCAGACTTTCATAGCGGTAACACTTTGCAAGACCAACGCAATAATGAAAATATACAATCCTGTATCGCAGTGCTTAAAGTAATAAGTTATTATAAACTAGAAAAAAAAATTATATTAGCATCTATTTGTTTTTAAACGTATTATCACCAGTAGTATTATCATTATTGGTTATAATATAAGTTGTTATTTTTTAATGAAATGAAAGTATTAATTCAAAATTTCCGATATTTCACATTTAAAGAAAAAATTTTTAGATGTTCGTTAAAATGTTGTCCGCAGCAAAGATGTACATACACGGTGAAGGGACTATTATTAGTATATTTTGGAGGCAGTGCGGAAAATTTGCCGGAAATCAGAAATTCGGGCAAATTTGCCCCGAATACGGATTAAGGGATAATACATAAAATACTCCTTTAACTAATTATACTATTGTATACATATAATTGTAATGTTTTTTGTTTAGTTCTGCACACTTTTTTGTAATAATGATCAACAAACTTCGGCTTACCTTTGATGGATTAATGAATTCTTTAATAATGAGAAAGCTTTTTACATTGGAATTTACTGAATATAAATATAAGTTACGATTCAGTAGCAATTTTTAGAATATTAATCTTTAGAACTTCTGTATTAACATATACGATAAAGAAAAAATCAATAAAAATGATTGAAAATTTGATAGGAAACATATATGTTCAATCATTAATCTTAGGATTAATTTTATCGTCTGTTTATTTCAAACTAACGAGGATACAGATTAAACTGGTAGGGTTTTCTGTATTAACGTTTATAAAAAATAGTTATTAATAATAAAAGTCAATTTTCAAAATGGGCCACCTCTCGTTTATTATCGATTTCCAATTATCGGACATACTTGGCGTTTTATAACTGATTGCGAAAATTTAATGTTAGAAAAAAAAATACCAATTTTTTTCACGTTCTATTATAGTATTTATGATTTCTTAACAGTATGGCGAAACATTTTCGTTATACGTATACGGCCAAATAATGACTATATCCATAAAGGATACAGTTTATGAATTATTCAAAAAAGAACAAGATTTCAGTTCTCAAGAAGGCATTATCACAGTAATTGAAAATTTTTAGGAATATGACATTTTTTTCTTAGATCTATTAAATCATTCCTTCAATTTGAGAACAGCAACTACCGCTGAATTATATTTTCCCCTATGCTGTGGGACCTGAGAACAAGTTTGGTAAAAATATTAAAATAATAAAAGATGTCCTAGGAAACATAAACTATATTATGGTAGGTTACAACAAAATATTACTAAGGCCATAGATATTTATATCTTTAAGTTTTTAATAATACAGTAAATTGGTTTATAATTCATGGATATTTTAAAAGGACTGTTTAATTACGAAGGTTATTCATAAACTAGATTATATTTTATTAAATATTGTTTCGTTATTAGCTGCTAATATTAGTGTTGGTGAAGTATGTATTTTTTATGTAAAATTCTATCATACTATAAATTAATTATTCTTATAAAAATTAGGATTGCTACTATTATGAAGAACTTTTAGAAACTTTAGAAACTTAACTCTTTTCAGTTATTAAAGTTGCACTTGTACCAAAAATATTTCATATATACATCCCTAGCTTGATAGACAATTTGCAACGTAAGTTATTTTAAAATCGTTTTGCTGCTATATTAGATATCCGTATGAGCATGATAAAATTAGTTTCTTTAATGACTGTAATTTAAAATGTGAGAGATCTTGTAGATACAAAATTAAATTTTCGCTGTACCAGATTTCATTAAAATTTGTAATTATGTATTACATAATTCCTGTTACAGATCAATTTATCGAAACCCATTTTAATTACATAATTTATATCATTAATTTTTTTTTTTAATCATTACATAACTTATTCATCTTTTTATCATTTAATAGAATTCCTTTAAGGTTTATTTCAAAACATAGAGATGTAATTATTTATCGTATTAGACCAGTCAACAAAAAACATCTTGAAGATAAAAAGAGATTACTGGATTAGGTGATTCCTAGATTTGCTCCTGTAAGTTATTTATAAAAAAAAAAAATAGCTAGATGCACTATAATTGGATTATCCGTATTTGCTGCTACAAACACTACGTTTACTTCTGCTTACTGTGCTTTATATGGTTAATATTATTCTGTTATTATTACATTACAACAGTAATATTTTTAAATATTAATATTCCCATATTTTATTTGAAAATTAGATTTGGCAAAAGCTCAAGAAATTAATAAATTATAGTTATTGTATGGGTATGTGTGAATAACCCAGTTACACACGGGTTCATATTCCGTGCCGAAGGCACGGGATTTAAATATGAACCCGTGTGTGTAACTGAGTTATTCATATACCCATATAATAACTATCTTATTGCAGTGTCTGACGTAACAATCCCGTGCAACAACCAAATGAAAAAAGCACGGGTTGTCACATAAGACCCGTACAATAAATGTATTTCTAAATCTTATTATACGTTTGAGAATGGATATCAAGTTCTAAATGGTAATTTTTTTTTTTCAGGATTATTAATCTTTTAATCTCAAAAAATATGTTAATTCTTTTTCTTAATTATTTAAAATCGTAGGCCGTTTGGTCTTTATAAACTTTATCAACTTAGCTATTGATGAAGAACTTCAAAACTTCAAGGCCAAAATCCCAAAGAATTCCGTGCATATTGCCATGATTCTCCTGCGACGAAACTCGAGCGCAATTTCTTGATATTTGGAAGTGAAGGACATGCCTGTCGGGTAGATATTTGGCTGTTAATACGATTAAGATAAAAAATTTTGCATCAAATTATGTTGAAATATAATGTTAAAACAGAAAATAGGCAAATGGCACCCAGAAAATTTGTTGGAACTTTTATTTAGTGTTTAATCAATGCAAACATATAAATGTATTCAGACTTTTTGAGTAATAACATTGTACATATAAATTTGAAATTATAATAATAATTATTGTCAATAACTTGAATCATACGATTTTGCCATAAATTTTTGTTGTTTTTTTATTGTTTTTTCGTGTAATTGCAATAAACTTTTGGAACCGATTGTACATAAATGCAATAGAAAAGAATTGATTTGTTATGTACTGTACATGAAAATTTTAATAATAATAATATTATTATTTTTAGTATGTAAAAATCTTTAAAATGCAAAAAATATGCCGCGTAAGTTCTTAATATATGCCAAATATAAAAAGAATTGCTAATAGAGTAAATTGCAAATTAAAGAAAATAAATATCCAAGAATTATATAAAAATTAGGTCATGCAAAATTATTAGTAATCGATTTTTATAACTCGGCCGGTCAAAATTTGAAAACTTCTAAAAAAATTTTTTATATGGTTTACAGCTATTTTTATTATTATTAGAACATGTGATAAAAATTGGCCGAATGATTTTTCAGCTGATTCGACTAAGTTTGTAATTTGGCACAATCCGTAATAAACCTCTTTTTATATAATAACACTATTTGGCACGAAGGGTAATTTATTCCGCAAAATACGGTATGAAGAAATTAAAAATTTCAAATTTATAATAGTTATAAAAAGCATTATAAATCCTTAATAATGCATAATAACTCTATATAACGAATTTTTGTTCTTCCTGAACCTGTTAATTCGTTACAAAAGAGCAAAAAGAGTTGATCGTATTTTTTTTTTATAAAATTAAAGTTACATTAAATATCAAATAAAAGCCAAGAAAATTTTTTCTCAGAAAATAAAGAAATATCGGAAAAGCTGCTTAAGCAATAAAGAATTTTTAGCAGATAAACTAAACGATGTAAAGATAATATTAAAGCAATTTTAATGAACTTGAAGTTTTTTTTTCATTTTATGAATAAAAAGACGATATGAAAATTGTAGTAAAGTTTTTTTTTCAAAATCGTAAAATATAATCCTGCATTGACTTAAGTTTTTTTAGCGAACTAAATTTTGATAATTATATTAAAAACCGAACAAAGTTGATTTTTTTTTCAATCAATGAATATTGAAGAATATTCGAGTCGGTCTATAATCGATAAAAATTCGTAATTGACGCAGAATAAATCTATGTCATATGCAAGGTTTCTATTTTAAAACCTATCTTAAACAGTAATTTTGCTTTGTTTATTAAAATAAAAAATAAAACAAAAAGTTAACTATGTAAATTTAAAAAATTAAGTAACATCAATTAGGTCGAACAGTTACTATAGTAGATTACTACATTTAGCAAATTGGATTACAGAACTCTTAAGAATTACTTGATCTTACATAAAAAAAACATTGTAATACTTAAGTAGTGACCTAAAAATTCTATAAGCAGTAAGTAGTACAGCTGCACATTAAATGATTTAAATGCAGGTTCGGATTTTCGCTATTTTAACGTTCAAAAAGAAAAATGGCAGACCCTTATGAACTTGGATACAATTATCAACATGGAATAGGTTTTAAAAAAGATGAACATAAGGCATTCGTTAATTATCAAAAATCTGCTGAAATGGGAAATTCTAATGCGATAAATAATCTCGCAAGCTGTTATGAAGATGGAATAGGAGTTGAAAAAGATGAACATAAGGCATTCGTTAATTATCAAAAATCTGCTGAAATGGGAAATTCCTATGCAATATATGGCCTTGGATGTTGCTATCAATATGGAATAGGAGTTGAAAAAGATGGAAATAAGGCATTCGTTAATTATCAAAAATCTGCTGAAATGGGAAATTCCTATGCAATAAGTAGCCTTGGATATTGCTATCGACATGGAATAGGAGTTGAAAAAGATGAACATAAGGCATTCGTTAATTATCAAAAATCTGCCGAAATGGGAAATGCTACTGCAATAAATGGCCTTGGATATTGCTATCAATATGGAACAGGAGTTGAAAAAGATGAACATAAGGCATTCGTTAATTATCAAAAATCTGCTGAAATGGGAAATGCTGCTGCAATATATAATCTCGCATGCTGTTATAGAGATGGAATAGGAGTTGAAAAAGATAGCCATAAGGAATTCGCTAATTATCAAAAATCTGCTGAAATGGGAAATGCTGCTGCAATAAATCAAGTTGGACATTGCTATCTTAATGGAATTGGAATTGAAAAAGATAATTATAAAGCATTTCTTCATTATCAAAAATCTGCCAATATGGGACATACTAACGGAATGTCTCAACTTGGTTATTGTTATCGAAACGGGATCGGAATTTCGAGAGATTTACAAAAAGCTGACTATTGGTATCAAATGTAAATAATCTATTTTATTCAATTTTTTCTTTAATTATAATTTATAAGAAGCATTTTCTAATAATAATTAGGGCAAAGAATAAGATGTTGGGTAATTTTAAAGTTATTTATTTACTTTCGATATAGAAGAAATTTATTTACTAATTTTTTTTTTAGTCATGGGTGAATGGACAAAAGAAAATTCTAACATTGATGATGATGATAATGATGTCAAAAAATTATTGGTTGAGGGAAAATATCTGTTATCATGGATTTCATATAAAGAATTTATGGATGTTGAAAAAATAGGACAAGGTGGATTTGCAACAGTATTTTATGCCAGATGGCCAGACGAAAAACAAGGTATTTTGAGAGACGTTGCATTAAAATTGCTCAATGGATCAAAATCTTATAATGAAGGATTTATAAAAGAGGTAATTTTTATTTATATGCTCATTATTTCTTTAAAGATTATTAAATATTAAGTACTTTTTTTTTTTATTTTAATATCAAAGTTAAAGGCGTATTGTGATATTAGTTCTAAACATCTTTCGTTTTTAAAATGCCATGGAATATCAAAAGATGATTCTGGAGATTATATTCTTGTCCTGGAATACGCTTCAATGGGTTGTTTGCGTAAAAATCTTCGTTCTGTAGCACAAATGAAATGGAAAGATAAATTAACATTATTGCATTGTATTGCTTCTGATCTTCAAATAATTCATTCTCAAGAGCTTATTCATCGAGATTTGCATAGTGGTAATATACTACAAGATAATTTACATAGCGCTTATATTGCAGATTTGGGACTTTCCATATCAGCAAATATAGCATTAAATGCAGAAGGACGTGGAATTTATGGAATGTTACCGTACGTATCTCCAGAGGCTTTAGATAATGGCCATTATTCAACAGCATCAGATATTTATTCATTTGGCATAATCATGTGGGAAATTTTATATGGAAAACCAGTATTTTATGATCAAAAATTTGGACCACAACTTCAAATACAAATATGTTACAATAATTTAAGACCAACAGTTATTGAGGATACACCACAATGTTATGTAAATTTAATGAAAGAATGTTGGGAAAGAGAGCCAGAAAAACGACCATCAGCTGAAAAAATTTGTAAAATTTTTATGGAATGGCAAAATAATGAATCCATATTATTAGAATTGGATGAATCTGAGAAAGTGTTAAAGAATATTAAAAAAGTAGATGCTGAAAATCCCTCTGAAAATATTTATGAAAGTAAATTAATTAATTATACTACTTCATTTTTTCAAGGTAGCTATACACTATAGTGCTATTATTATTATTTTTATGAATAAGTTATACTTTGAAGCTGATTATTATTATGTCTTATTTATAGACAGTGGATTTGAAAATTTGAATATTACGGAGACATAGTTTTTGCTTAATTTTCGATTTTTATTTAAATTACATTAAAATCAGAACATTTTCATCAATTCAAAAATTGAGTAGGTGTGATATTCGTACAAAATTTTTAAAAATACTTTCGTGGCTTCTGATCACCATTACATTCAATAAAGTTTATATTATTAAATTTTTGTTCGAAATCTTATCCTTCATGTTTAGTGTATCAATAAGTCTTAGCAAAAAAATAAAAGGGCTCTATATATAAATTAGACCTTTATAATAAACCTATTGTATAAATTGACGTACATGTTAAAAAACAAAATCCTGTATATAAATAAATAAAATATTACTTTTTATTTGTATATACAAGTTGTTTTGTAGCCCTTCAAATTGCCATAAGACGAATTTTATTTACGTCTAACCAGAGTTCCACATCGAATTGTAATTCATACAGATACAAATCATTAATGTTTTTTATTGTACACTTCTTATGTGAGTACCTAGCCATTTTCATGCATGTTATTGGGTCAATTCTAATACATGATACACAAACTTTGTTCCCCTCCTATCGGAGGTGAACAAAATTTGTGTATCACGTTTAGAAATGACCCAATAAGATGCAGAAAATGGCTAGGTGCTTACGTCAGAAATGTACAATAATGTAGTTATTGGGTCATGTTGTTAATGATAATCGCTGATTTCTTCACAGCAGACACTGCGTTATGACGTGCCCTTCGGTCACGTCATAAGCACAATGTCTTAGTGAATAATCAGTTATCATCAACAACATGACCAATAACAAGTACATATCGTTCAGTTCAGTGAGCGTGGTTCTCCCGAAGTGACGGAAGCTTTTCAATACATACATGTCTATGAGAGTGCTTGAGAACCTGACTTATAAAAGATATTCCAACATCCAAATGTTTGGTAATTTTTTGAAATGATAGGCCTTTCAAATTTTCTTCACCTATTTTCCAGCGAAGGTGCTTTGAAATTATTATGTTTCTGTACTCAACCAAAGATACAATATTTAATAATATTTATATTAGTCAACTGATCTTTAATTACAGATATATATGCTGTAGGAGGTTATAATATTATAACGTTATCGGGCTTTCATAGATTGGCTAACTTTGTTATTCAGTGGGACACCGTTGTCGATCTTTCATGTGATCTTCGTGGCTAATATTGTCGATCCTATGTTTCGTCATTGATATGCTCGAAATTAATTTATTTTACTTCCGCTTGCAAACCATATGTAATTGATATGTTCAAAATTAATTTATTTTACTATCACTATGTATTCGAAATACGATGTAATTTTTATATAATAGTTGTTATTATCTCTTTATTCTTTTTGCACTTTTAATTTTTAAATTTTTTTTTTCATTAGCTTTGTTATTAATATAGAACCTTCAACTCCTTTTTGCAATAGTTGCAAATCATTCAAAGCTCTTATTGAATTTTTAAAAAGTAATGTTAATAATAAACCTAAACAATTCAAATCATGTAATAATTGTTGACAAAGATCTAATGAAAAAAATAAAACCCAAAAACAAAAAAAAATCGCAGAAACTAATATGAGTGAAATAGAAATTATTGATATAGATTTTTTATGTGAAATTGTTTAAGAACTTTTGAATTAGATACCATCAAATAACCCAGAATTATTAAAGATCTTATTGTTCATGATGATAATTTAATTGATGAAAGTAATTTAAGTAAAAGTCTTGCAGATGAAGTTGTTTAATTGATAGAAAATGTAGACAGATATAACTGGAGTTATCATTATCAACATATAAATAAAGAAACAATTTAATACTAGTATTCTTGCTCTCAAAGAGATATTTTAGTAAAAACACAATATAAATATTCAAATTTATCCAAGCAATGAGATACTTTACCAATAGAAAGTTTTAAATGTGATAGTTTGACTAAAAATTTATTAATAAAACTAGCAAATAGCTGAAGTTATTTTTTGTCATAAAATTTATATCAAAAACTAATTGATATATCTATATCTCAGGAAATAAAAAATTTATAATTAATAATATTGATCTTTTTCCTTGTGAAATTTATGCTTGTCTTATTAATAGAGGTGTTAATTTGCAAATTTGATAAAAACAAATCTATTACTAGTGGATAAAATTAGAACAAGGCTGATATAAATAGCATTATATTTCATTTAAATCTAATATATTTGGCTTTTAAAAAATAAATATAAATTTATATTACATAAAATATAACCTGTTTATGCATTAGCATTTGATACTGTAATTTTGGATTAATTAAATCAATTAAATATTGTTGTTAATAAATGTGGTATTGATGCCACATACAAAACTAATAACTTAGAATTTGAATTATATGCACTATATGCAGAAGTAAATAGAATAGAATAAATTTCTATTATTATATTTATTTCTAAAAAATAGTAGCCAATATTAATATAAAGAAGATATACAAACTGGAATGTTACAAAAATATTTAGTTGCATATTATAATCAAGAAGTATAGCCTAAATTTTTTTTAACTGATAAAGACTATATATAAATCAATGCAATATAATTTATATAGCCCTATTGTAGGATTTAATTGTGTAAATACCATGTTAATTGAGCTATTACAATGAGATTATCAAGTGACAGAAATATTTAATCTAATTATAATCCTTTTTCTAAATATAGAAGAAGATTTCCATTTGATAATATTTAACAAACTCATCAATTTTGGTTTGAAAATTTGTATAGCAGATTATAGAAAGATATTTACAAAGTTATCTATTTTTTCTAACAAGTAATAACCAATTTTTAACTAAAGAGATAATTTATGAATTATCAGTCCAGAAAATATATTTATTTTGTAAAAATAATTCTTTAATATCTCTTTAAAATTCCTCTAAACTAAGTAGTACAACAATACAAAATAGCAATTATAGGCAAAATCATCTTGCATGAATATGATGTCTATATTAATAATTACTATATCTGTTGAAGGTTATTAGAAAGTAATTAAATGAGATTTTTTATACAAATTTTTTCATTGAAGAATAGATCTTGTTGTATATATATTAATGCAAAAAGTTATAGTACATTAGTAGTGAAAATTATAACAAATCCAAATTGGGTAAGAAAAACCTGATTGGATTAAAAATTTTAAGTTTGAATGTAATCAATTATCTAAACAGTCTATAATACTAGTCAAACATATAAGACTGATATAAATAATTAGATTTGTGGATATCCCTACTACTTAATCAGTCATTTTAATATCTACAAACATTTAGTTTTTCAAAAAGAAAATATTGCAGCTAAATTTTTTGACTCTATAAAAAGGAATTTACAACCTTCTTTTTAAATTGAAAATCTAGTAACAAATATAGATAATAATTTGGATAACAATGTAATGATAGTAGCAAACTTGTTTACAGATATTGAAAAATCAACTAGTAATTATCTATTCAACAATTTAATTAATATAACTAAAAAAGCTCTTTCTCTTTTGGAAGAGCTGAAGTAGACTAAAATATAAGGTGGTGAAATTCTGTAAAAAAAAGCTTTTGATCCTGTCACTAAACTAGTTACGGAAGTTGAGCAATATCAAAAAAGACGTACAATGCCATTAACATGGAATGAACATACAGATAACACTCACTATTTATAATAATTTAAATTATGCAACTATTTTTTATTTTATTTTGATTTGTGCTAATTGATCATTAAATTTACACTAACCTGCCATTTTTATTAAATTTATTAGCTAGCAAATTGTGAAGATTAAAGAATTATGAAATAAATCTAATTTTCATAATTAGAAAATGGCGAATTTGTATTTGGCAAAATGAAAATTCTTTAAATTTGAAATATTTCATTAAATAGAAATCCTATAAAATTTTCACAATATAATATTCAAAGTTTTTAAAATAAACTTTTAATAAAACTGTTCTAAAATTGAAAATTTCAATGTTATATTATGCAATAAAGTTCGATTATTGAAATTGATATGAGCCATTATAAGCCACATAAATCACATGTCTGGTTTTTTTTGGTGGTTGCGCTGTGGTAGATTATAGTTATTGTATGGGTATGTGTGAATAACCCAGTTACACACGGGTTCATATTCCGTGCCGAAGGCACGGGATTTAAATATGAACCCGTGTGTGTAACTGGGTTATTCATATACCCATATAATAACTATCTTATTGCACGGTGTCTGACGTAACAATCCCGTGCAATAACCGCACGGGTTGTCACATAAGACCCGTACAATAATTCACAATTACAAGTTAATCACATTGAGAAAGATACGTGAGAATACGTCAATTACATCATCATAGTTCTATTGATCTTTAACAAAGACCTAATTCAATTTTACCACAACGGATGAGCACCATTACGATAACTAGCTAATTCACTGAGTATGTTACTTGAGAACAAATAGGTTCATGAATTTCTAAAGATGTTACACTAGATTCTTACAGCATAACTTTATATTGTAGAAAGACCTTCATGAGATAATGTTAATTCAGCTATTTGAAATACATACAGAAATTAATACAAACTACAGACATTAAGGTATAAGATATTCTATTTAAATCAAATCTTTGCATGGTTTCAAATTGTAAATTTAGTACAATTAAAAATCAGAAAATAGAAATTTAGAAAATTCAAATTTTAATTAAGCATAATAAATAAATCTCTTATATTATAGAATTAAGTAAAGTAATTTTGTATTCTTAATTTTATGTATTACATAAATAAAGTTGTTATGCTAAAGCTGAAATATGATCATCAGTTTTAAAATCTCTATGTGGCCTAACAGCTATCAAAGGCAGTGAAGAGATAAAAGTTAATCCTGAAAAAACGATCGCAACTTTAAATGCTGTATCTAAAGCTGTTACAAAGTCATGTATTATAAATTGTGGCGGTTGTTTGCCTGTCGTAACTTGACCAAAGCCTGATAAAGTTCCTTGCATTTCTGGGGGTAAATTTGAATTAAATACATTATTAAAGACTGAGCCTAGGATAGCTACACCAAAAACTGCACCCACTTTAGAAAAAAAAAACATCATGTAAATAATTAAAAATTCTCAATCAATAAACTGACATAAAAATTATATAGATTACATACTAGTTCTGAAAAATGTTAACAATGAAGTAACTGTAGCAATGTCCTTAGGTTCTACAACCCCTTGTCCGGCTAAAACAGTGACTTGTATGATTAAACCAACACCAAAACCGGCGATTAATGAGTAACCAATTATTTGACTTCTACTTGTATCTTCTGAAAATGTGCTAATCAATCCAGATCCTACAGCCATTAAAATACTTCCAAGAATGCAAAGTGCACCATAAGTAATAAAGACAGTTCTTGAAACTAATTGACCTGAAAAAATAGCCATAAAGACTAAACCCAAGATAAAAGGAAGAAGTTCCAAGCCTGAAGTGGTAGCTATAGAAAATAAAGTATATTTAGATAAATATAATATTAATAATATTATGATATGCGTAGTAGATAATAGAATTACTTATTTACCAGATTCAGATTTGACAACTTGAAAATAAAGTGGTACAAAGAATATCAAAGCAAAAAAAGTCATTCCATGAAAGATATTTACACTAAAACATGCAGCTACCTTATAGTTTTTAAATAAATGAACTAATAAATTATAAATTAATAAATATTAATAATAACATATTAGTGTAACCAGAAAAAAATAAAGGAAAAGTGAAATTTACGGGGAGCAATTGGTACTTTGGCAAACTTTGCCTCAATAAGAATAAATATGATATATCCAACAGCACCTAAACATAATAAAACTATAATTATAGGATCACTCCATGCTGAAATTTAATAAAAAAAAATAAAAATAAATATTTGGCATCCTAATGAGATAATATAAAGAGAATATTTTTAAAATAGACGGACCATATTTTGAACCAGCCCAATTAAGTGGCAATAACAAAAGAATAGTTGCAGCAACAAGGGTAAAAGAACCCCACCAATCAATGAGTTTAAGTTTTGACCAAAGAGAGCCAGTAGGAATTGGAAGGTGCAATAGAATGACAACAGAAATAAAAGTGATGACACCTAGAGGAAGATTAATAAAAAATGCCCATCTACAAGTATGTTAAATGTATAATCAATCAAATAGTATTTAAGTAATTAAGAATACAAACCTCCATGTGACCTTATCAGTAAAAGCACCACCCAATAGTGGACCCACAACAGATGCGATACCAAAACAACCACCTATCATTCCTTGGTATTTCCCACGGTCTTTGATTGAAACTATTTCACTAATAATAATCAATACCATTCTGGAGAATTGATAAAAATGAAATTAAATAACATAATATTTAAATTCTCTAAAAAAAAAAAGGAAGGAAAAATTTACCCTATAAGACCACCCCCACTAATAATCAAATAATTTATTAATTTTAATAAGAGAAAAAAAAGAACACTAATTATTAACAAATTGAAATTAAAGAAATTACCCCATGCCCGCAATACCACGCGATATGATTAACATCGTCTATAAATATATTAGAATAAAATGCAAGAAAAAAATTATTCGAAAAAATTGATAAAATCAGTACCATATTAACGGATAGACCACATAAAAGAGAACCAAGTTCGAATAATAATATTGCTGCGAGGAAGACGTATTTCTACATTAAAAATACGAATCTTAATTATTATATGAAAATATGGAGAATAAATATTATTTAACACAATAATAATGCTCACTCGACCAAATATATCTGAAAGTGCACCATATGTTGGCTGGAATCCGGTCTATTAATAGATATATATCAATGTTAATATTTTCATGGTAATAAAGACACTGCAGGCAAAGTTGACACCCAGTTAATAATCCGAATCAGTTTTGTTATTGGTTAACTGTATTACCACCATGATTTATTCATGCTACAGTTAATTAATAATTGGATAAATTGTTTCAAAATTTTAACAACTTTGATTTAATTTATTTCGATTCGTATTAACCCCAGCATCGAGCTGAATTATAAATCTGAGTAGATATTGAATCAAACATACCGCAGTAAGTAAATAAGCCGTTCCAACCCATGAGATTTGATCAAGGGCGTTGAATTCTATTGCAATAGCTGGTAAAGCAGTAGCAACTATAGTTTGATCCAAAGCAGCTAAAAATATAGCCAGTGCAAGACTGTGCATTCAAACAAATCGTATTAGCATTTATTTTTTGAAATTCTTTAAAAATTTATCAAAACAATTATAAATGTATACCCGACAAAAACTAGTAAAACTTGAGTTTTAGTCATCTCATATTTTGGTTTATTAGCATTATTATTAGTATCAGAGACTTCTAGTGCTACATTATTATCGGAAGATAACTGAGGTTTATGATCTTTTTCTGCAGAATTTGCGAACTCTCTTTCTTCTACATTTGCAGGCTCTTTTTCTACGGTATATACAGGTTCGTAAGACAGTTGTGGTATATCTTTAACTTTTGGATCATCCATTACGTTTGTAGACTCGGATGCCTGAAGTTTATTCTCGTCTTGAGACATTAAGTAACTAAATTATTAACGTTGTATTTGTTATATTAAATTAACAGTATTCTATATAATGATAGAAGTTATAATTGCATGAAATGTTATAATTGACTTTTTGCTAATAAGAAAAAGTACAGAATTTAAAATTATAATGTAGGTTTATATAGAATTGTCTCGGTAAAGTCATTAAAATTTATGCGTGCGTATATACGTACGTTCGTACTAAATTATGTACGTATATACTTAAATTCACTAAACAGTTTCGGCTAAATTTCAACATATAGTAGCCGTTCTGTGCTCGGAAAAAATGTTATGCCGAAACCTGTTTTTCGGAGCAACGTTACGCTAAAACAATTCAAATTCATTAAATTCAATACGTATGAGGAATATTAGTTTAATAACTAATAAAAATCGTAGTAAATTGATAATTTTCCGTGTTCTCATATATATAGTTTTTTAACAATTGTCATTTGCTACCTTTTTGAATATAAATTATAATGTCGTTTGCTAAAGCTACTTTATCTGATATGTATTATAAAATCACCGCATAAAATTAGCATCAAAATATTCCATAATACACGCGTTTATAAAGTAATCCATAGAAAACTTATTTATATAAAAGAAGATTATTGAAAAGCTCTATATTCATAATAGACACTTGTTACTTTTTAATAGTTTTCTTTATCTACTTTTTATGTTATTATTCATGTTGTATTCAATTACAAATTATTGTAGTGTACGTGTGCGCACGCACGTACGTATACACGTACGATGAAGATAGTCGCACACTGTTTATGGCATTCTCAAAAATGAAAATCGGCAGTATTAGGTACAACACTATTCAGTAAGACAGGTATTATAACATTACCATTTAACGATGACTCATTTTTTATGTAAATTTGTAGAAAAATGGTTTCTCATAAATATTACATTCCAAGTTAATCTAAAATATACTAATGATATCATGCTTCGCTCACTAAATAAAAGTACTGTTATGCTAAATAAATTTTATATTTAACAGTATACGTATATAGTTGGCTTGTATTACTTAATGCTAGTCCGGTGTCACGATCAGCCTGGGACATGTTCATTTTTTCTGTTTCAAGTTGGTCACTTTCTATTATTACTGTATTTGGTTAGTTTTCCACAGGTTCTAACTTTTATTGGCTAGAATTATTTGTACGCACATAAGTACGTACATACAGTACGTATTTCCCCTACAGGCAATCACACAGGTGACAATTTACTAACAACGCAAATAATCAAGCGCCAAGCCTAGCGCTATGTATAGGAAAATTGTTGTAGGTGAAATGACTATCAGGAAAGTAAGCGGCTACCGACAGGAGCTAGGCAGATGGTGTTCAATTCGTAGCAATAATTGTGCAGGTTATCGATATCTGTGAAAAGTGGCGGTGTTACCATTGGTTTTGGGAGAGCATCATTGGTAGATACCAATAGAAACTGAAGTTTAGATCATGGTTACACTTTTATGGGCACAGATTAGACCCGTGAATGAAATTCAAAGACTATACAAAATGTCCGTAACAAAGTAATTTGTTGATCTTTTCTAAATACAGCCTTTATATCTTGTCAGAAAAAAAAAAGCAAAATCTCTAATAAAACTCACTACATAAATCAGGTCAATTTTGATTACGATTTTTTTTTTTTATTTATTTTATTTTTTTTAACGAATCTACTAACAATAATTAGCCTTGTCAAATTTTAATTATTTTATTAATTCAAAAAAAGGATTTTATAATTTATCGCCATAGCGATATATCGCTAGTCTATGCAGAGTTTACAAAACAATAAAATTAATAATTTGTAAGCACAGTATTGTACTCCGCATGGCGATATATTCAATCCTCAGTTTCTATTTATATTTGACTTTCTTAAGAATATATTAAATGAAAAAAAAAATAACATTGAATAAAGATCCCGTATTAAATAAAAAAAAATAGAATTAATAATTAATTGATTAAATAAATTGTCAGTTAATATTATATATTAATAAATTTAAAATTATTGAAAAAATCATCGCACAATAACAATACGATGACTCGGAAGAAAATATTATTTGGCTCTTTGCCATGAAAACTACGTTGCAGAAAATAAGCAAGACCCATTTGTATCTTTTTTTCTCAGCACCTAGTCTATATAGATAAAAATCTTAAAAAAAGTCAATCTACAATAACCCAAATACAAAACCAAATAACTTGAATAATATGAGAAATTATAAAAAAAATCTTTCTTAAAAGTATTAAAAACAACATTTCTTTTAAAAAAATAAAATTGCAACATCATACTAATAATATGTATCAAAATTTGATTAATTATTTATGGCTAAGTTTACAACTAATTGATTAATAATTTCAAATCAACTATTAATTAATTAACTAATTGATTAATAATAAACTATTAATCAATTAATCTTAATTAATTAGTTGCTTTTATATTAATTAGCTTTTTAATAAAATTTTTATCAGATTTATATTTATAAATTAGATTAACAAATCGATCTTCAATTTAATAATATCTATCATGCATGAAGACATAAATTTAAGGTGGTGATAAAAGTTGCCCAACGCATTTCACAGACAACTTAGTTCACAAGCTCATTTCACTGACCATTTCCTATTATAAATTACAATAACCTTAACTCTAATTCAAAATCTAACCATAACTACAATGATTAGAATTACTTTGTCGATAAAACAAGCTGTGGTAAACATTTACGGCGCTTTTTTGGAATTGGGCCTAAATTAAGAACCAGAATTACTATTGAATTATCGTGATTATTAATAATGACTACGTTTCAATCACATGACGCATATACAGTACTAATATGATCCCAAATCGAATAAAACTAATATGGTTTCACGTCAAACCCATCTGTAAAATTTTTGTAAAATTTATTCAATAGTTGATCACAGTTAAATTATTTAACTCATATTAACAGTGCGTCCTTATATGTGTCATAAATTTAGGGTAGTGTAAAAATGCGCCGTAATGATATAATGACTATGAAATAAGCTTGTCTGTGAAATAATCGTCGATAAAAATAAACTTTGTAAATTAATTGTCAGTCTGTGAATGATTGTTAATGTGTTGACTAGAACTGATTAATTATTTATTATTTATTAAAATCTGGAGCCACTCCAATTCACATTAATAAATATTTTTTTTAATGCTTTACTATGATCAGTTTATAAAATAAGTCAATTATTTTATGGTATTTTTAAATGATAAAATAATTGAACTATTTCATAAAATAAAACCGTTATTGCATACTTCGTATGCTATAACTATATAATATTAATCAATTATCCGAGTTATTAACTAAAACTACTTAATAATGTGCAGCGTAGTATCATTCTCTATTTCATTAATATTATGAAATTCGGACTTTTAAACTTTAATTATATTTACAAATAATATGCAGTTTTTTAATGTGATCACATAGAAATTATTAGCAATGATCAAATCATTAATGATTAATAATACTAATAACGAATTATTGATTATTATTAACATTAATAACGAATTATTGATTATTATTAACTAAAAACTCAAAAGTCTCATCACTATCCGAAACTATAATTTTAGATAACTATATACAACTTACTGTACATGTAAATCTGAGACTAGAATTGCAAAAAAACTGAAATTTGGTTAATTTTGGTGAAATTGCCAACGAGAAACTCAAAGTGAAATTGTGATGAAACTACTTTCATTTGCAACTCCCTGAAAATACATCATCCGTTCCTGAGTTACATGCAATGTCGCACAACTAAAAACTAAGTGCGTAAGATAAAAATTTAGGGTTAGAATGTTAGTAGAATAGGATCTGCCAATGGTTTAATTCTTATTATATGAAAATTTCTTTCCCGTCATTTTTAATTAGTGAACCAAGGTCGATTTAAGCATTAGTTTCGAGTATTTTCACGATATCTGCAGAAACCGACATATACAGTAATGCTTGGGTTAGTACGTTTCATATAATCTACCACTTTTAGAATACAATTCTTTGCAGCTTCGATGTATCTTGTCATAGAACCGGTACAGTTAGAATGAAGCAAAAGTCTACATTCTTCGTTAATTTTATTTTACGAAGCGTTAAAGCTATAACGCTTTCACGCTTTGCACATAAAGCAGAAATCTTAGTATCTAATTCACCTCTTAAGTCATCCTCATGTCGTTTAAGACGTTCTTCAAGATTCATATTGCCTAATTTGTCTTTTTGAGATGAAGTTACAGAGCTCTCAAAGCGAGACTTATTATTTTTATCCATATTTATTAGCCTACAGTTATATTTAGAGTATTACGTTACACAGGAACACGGAATTTAACGATAAGAATTTGTAAATTATGTGTGCGATATATGATTAAAAATAAAAGTGCGATTTTAATGATTTTACTTAAGCAAAAAATAAA